AAATAGAATCCGCAATCAGCATATGGTGGGCACTGTAGTACACATGGTTTCCCCGATTATGTCCATAAGATCCCCAAATTATTATGTTTATTTAATTAAAAGAACTAAAATCTCCTTAGATTTTGGCCACATTTTTGGTGTCCATCTCAGAGACTTTCTAGGCTGGAAACTACAAGACATAGGGAAAGAATTACATTGAATGTTAATGATATTATCATTGTTATTTCTATGAACTAAATACAATTATATTTCATAATTTTTCCCATTGAATGGGAGGGGAGTTTCTTTTAAAAAAATGTTTTATTTATTTTTTTGAACATAGTCACCTTAATAAACTGTGTTGTCTGGCTTTACATTTAAAAAAACATTCACTAACAGTTGGTTTCTATAATCTATAATGCACATAATAACTTTACTTGATTTCCTCTTTTTCCCATAATGTTTTCTTTTACCAACCTTAAGTTAATACAATTCTTGTTGTTTTGATAAATAATGATTGAGTATAAATTTTTTTCTAATATTTCTACAGATAATAATCACATCAGTATAATATTTCTTTTCTATCTAGTCATTCTGGTTGCCTGCTTACAGTTCCTGCTTACAGTTCTTGTTTACATTTGTTTTTCCCACAATGTTCAAAACATTCTTACTGGTTAAGATTTTCTCAAAGTTGAAATAAGTGATTGCTTTATTTAGAGGGACACGACCTTCAGTTAGGTTGGCATGCTTTTATATGGTACGAGAAATCTAAAGCACATAAGTACTTTCAAAATCATGCGATAAGAAACGTACTACTTTCAGAATGGGAGAAAATTAAACATAAAATATATATGAAAATACCTGAGTGGTTTTCAACAATGGAAGCATTTGCTTATCCAAATCTGATTAATTATGACAAACTGGTTAGTTATAATGACATTTTAGACAAAGAGGGAAAACTTAAGGACAGGCAAACTTTACAACTACAAGGTATTGACTTGACATGGTGGTCCTATTTGCAAATTCAAACAAGATACGAAAAAGATATAAAATTGACAGGTTTTTACAAAGAACAGACCCCATTAGATAAAATTTCGTTAAAAACAGATGAGAATTTGATTAGAAATTTATTTTAAACTGGAAGATGGAAGAACAAGTGAAAGAAACAATGATAGTATGGGCAAAGAACTTCGGACATTCTATAGATTTGGAAGACTGGCAAAAACTTTGGAATAAAAATATTAAGCTTACAAAAGCGGTAGCATATAAAGAAAACTTATATAAGGTGTTTTATAGATGGCACATGACACCAGTTCGCTTAGCAAAAATGTTTTAAAATGTTTCGGATATCTGCTGGAAATGTAAATAACAGTCAGGCACTTATTACCATGCTTGGTGGATATGCCCTATCGCTAAGAAATATTGGTCTAAGATCCATAGATGGTTGGAAAAGATGATGAAACTACAGATAGAATTTAAACCGGAATTGTTTTTGTTAGGAATATTAAGACCTGATTATGGTAAAGAGAATGACTATTTGATATTGCATGTTTTAACTGCTGCAAGGATAGTATTTGCCCAATTTTGGAAAAATGAGAATTTACCATCTGACCAGATTATAATTACTAAAATTTTAGAGTGTGCAGAAATGGATAGACTAACATTAGAAATGAAAGAAAAATATGATTCAATTTATTTTAAAACTTGGGAAAATTTTTATCAATGGTTAGAGACACGTTAGAACTTGAAGAGTTCAATATTTTAGAATAGATGACTGATTTTTAATTGAGTTCTAACTAACATTTTGACGATATGATTATTTTTCCTGATTTGCTGATTTTCATTTGTTACTTTTGATAGTTAGGATTTTTTGAGATGTTATTAATAGTGTTTACTTAACAGATCAACGTATTTGTTTACTAATTGTTTTTAATATGTTATAGTCTAGGCTTTGGTAAAAATGGTTGAATATGATATTTACTTATTATTATGATCCGGACGGTAGCTTGTTTGTTGAAATATGTGATTGTACCTATCCTTATTTTACCCTAATTCCTTATTCCCTTCCCCTTTCCCTTTCCTTCCACCCCTCCCTTTACCATACCTATATTGTTCCTATTTTTCCTCATCTATATAAACTTAATAAAATTTTGTTAAAAAAAAGATTTTCTCAAAGTTAATTACATTTAAATATTTAAATCTATTTTTTCTCATGTAAGTCATCCCAATACTTTTACCTTTCTTAACGAATAAATAAGACTAAAAAAAGAAAAAAAGAAGAATAAGAATAAAGAAAAATAAAAGGATAGTATGCTACTTAAAATCCATGGTTCCTATAAGCTAATAGGTATTTATTTCCAAAAATTTTCCATTCTTTTTACTATAATTAAAATATATTTAATATTTAAATATTCCGTTTAATAAATCTAGTCCTCTAGTCTTTTAACTCTTATTCAAACATTTTTATTTTCTTAAAGTCAATCACATTTAAATATCTAAAACATTTCCTTTATATAAGCCATTCCAAATTTTTATATTACTCATATCAAGAAATAAAATAAGAAGAAAGAAGAAAGTACTATGTTACTTGAGGGCTCTTCCCTCTTAAAATAAAATTCATATCCAAAATCTATTTCTTTAACCATATTCAAACAGGTGTTTCTTTTTTAAATATTCTCTCTGATAGGTTCCATCATCTATTTTCTTAATTTTCACCTTAGCCTTTTTCTTTTGCCCAGTATCTTTCTTAATCAATATGTTCTGCTGGATCAAATAATCTTTCCATATTCTTGTAAGCGTTACTGTAGATATAAAAGGTAAGTCAGGTACAATATCTTTGTAAGAGGCATTTCCCATTCATGTTTGTTGAAAATCTTTTTCTTTCTTTTTCTCTCTGTTTCTCTTATCATTTTTTGTCTCTTCAGTTCTAGTGGTTTTCCTGACATCTCTGCAGTCCATTTTGTCCAATCTTTTTTCTTATCCACACTTGTTTTGTGGTGTTAAGTTGTTTTTTCCAAATCCAGTATTTCTTCTAAATTTTTTTCCACTTGGGTTAAATCATACTTCTTTGCTTTGTTAGGTTCCATCTTTAAGTCTCTATCCTCAAATTTGTATTCAGTTATCTGTTTTATCTGCTCCTTCTCTATTGTTGTTTTCTGGGATTTTTTGTTGTTGTAAAGTTAAATTGGAGATGAATTGGTTTATATTTTCAAAGTTATTTTGGATTTCTTTGTGGTTTGAAATCATTGTTGTTTGAATTAGTTGCAACATATCATATGTCTCCTCTTGAAAGGTATTTATTTTTTCTTGATAAGTTCTTTCTATAAGTCTCTGATTTTCCATGATGACCAAAAATCCAAGTTTTCTTTTCTCTGCAAATAGCTTTGGAGTCAGAGTTAAGTAGATACTTGTAATCCAGAAAGTTCAAAAAAGTTTTTTTTTGTTCCCTAAAGTTTATAGGTCTCTCTTTGTCTGCAGCTCAGATTGTTTTCTTTTTTTGTCACAGCTATTCTCTATTGTTAGAGCTTTGAAGGTCACAAGTAGAAATTAGTTTTTTCCAGATTTTGCCAAGTCCTGTATAAAAGCCATAGCTGTCATAGTCTTCATCCACCACTAGATGTCAGCATCGGTTTATTTTTCAAATTTTCAAAATGAACAAATTACCTTTAAAATGAGAATCTTAATCATTCAGCAATTTCAAACTTATCCAAATTTAGGTTTTATAGTCATTTCATTTCAATTCATTTCTTCATAAAAGGTTTAATTGGCCGCTTCCGTTAGTAAAAGTGTGGGGTAAATATACTCCTCCTTCACTTTCGGAGGTTTTTTGCTTCTTGGGTTTTTTTTTCTTCAGGATAAGTAGGATAGAGAAAATCGATGTTCTTATCCAGATTCAAACACACTGTTTACAATCAGCTTAAAACAGTGCTTTTGACTTCGGTTGCTTGTAGCTTGTGCTAGACTCTGAAGTTAGGCTAGCCTTTCTCATGTTGGTTTCTGGAAGGCTTCTCCTGGACTGATCGGGTCGACTGCCATCTCTCCGTGGTCCCCGGGACTTTTTTCCTTCTTTGTCGCCTCTTCATGGTGGCTTCTGGCTCATTTAGGGTCCCCTAACAGGAAGAAATTCAGCCGAAGGACATAGAGCCCTGAACTCCTTGACTGCTGCGCTACTGGGCAGGACCGGAAGTCCAGGAGGGGAGTTTCTGATTATTTAGCATGTTGATAAATGATGAAGGCACCTATGGACTTTTTTTGTTTGTGCTGAATTTAATCTTTCCAACAATGTTTGAGAGAATTAGCAGTGAGAACCATAAACAATCAGAACTTCTTAAAAATACAGTTCTAGAATGTATTGGCTTTCGTCCCATCTATATGTTGTAAAGAACTACAAAACTACAAAAACATTTCATGAATAAGGGTCTTGAGCAAACCTTCCCAAAATTCTTTCTTTCTGTTTCACCTTAACTTTAGAAATTGGTACCAAACGGAAGGTTAGCTAATGCTAAGAGAAAGAGTCTCTTTCCCAGGATCAGGTAATTCAAACAAAAGAAGAAAAGAGTATGAAGGACATAACTGTGATCAGGTTTTCATACATAGGGTCGTTTTTTTCACTACAGACATTCAATTTATAGAATACCCTCCCTGCTGAGATATAAATAACTGTAACTCTGCTGGGGTTTTGTACATAATTTTATTCCAGAATGCCTTCAGCCTTTCAACTAGTTTAGTTTTAAGGGTTCCCCATGATGCTTAATGATATAATTGGGCCTTAATGGTATTATGGGAAATGTTTACTGTAGCTTGTAGTTTGGTTTTTGTTATTGTTGTTTGCAAATGATGTCACTGTATATCCCTTGGAGCCCATTAGAGCAGGGGCAAGGTATAAATATTATAATTAAATATAGAAAATAAATGTTCAGAATGATTGTACAGCCATTAAAAGCTTTTTTCTTCTTATTTATATCCCTCTACACAACGAAGTGTATTCATCATTTGATTTGCACATGGGTTTTCTTTATTAGGAGGAATTGGATAATACCATTACAATGGAGGATCAGATTTATCTCCTTCTGGAGTCCAAAGTTCAGTGTGAACAAAACCTCACAGCTCAGGTACAAGAAGAAAGAGGTGAGGGTATTTTAGTAATCTAATATTCTTCTTATTTTGACCATGATTTTTAAAATGATTTTAAAATGTATAAAATTGATAGAATGCAAGGAAACATACCCTTATCGTTTGATCTATGGGTTTCTGTGCTGAGAACATGGATGTTTTCATTATCTTTTTGTCTAAAATTCAGGTGCAAGGATTGTTTAAAGTCTGCTAATAGCAGCAAATCTGTCTGTCCCAATCATAATATTCTCCTGGCCTGCCTGCAGCACTGATATCAAGTTTTAATTAGGGATGAGCCACTGGACCCTGCACAGTTCAAAAATCATTCAGAAGAGATTTGGACCTAGTGTAAACACAACAGCTCTCTGCTGCTCATGAATTTTTCAGGTTATTCTATTCAAGACTGGGAAAAAATAAGGCTACTTTAAGGACTCAGCTGAAAATCAAAAAACCTGATTATAAATCAATCTGAGAAAAATCAAAGAAGGGACCACAGCATAATTATAACTGCAAAGAGAAAATAGATGGAATGGCAGGTTACATCACCAAAAGAAAGGGAGGGAGGGAGGGAGGGAGGGAGGGAGGAAGGAAGGAAGGAAGGAAGGAAGGAAGGAAGGAAGGAAGGAAGGAAGGAAGGAAGGAAGGAAGGAAGGAAGGAAGGAAGGAAGAGATCTAAATGGTTACCTCCCTCTTTCACTAGAGCTACTGGGGTAGGAGAACTCAGCGGAAATACAAAGAAAAAAAGAAATAGAAAAAGCCACATTCACTATAACTGGAGATTTAATAAAGCATGAAAGATAAACAAGAAAGAAAAATTAATTTAGATAGATGCCGGGCAATGAAAGGTCTGATCCTGAATTTTTTAAAAAATCAATGTAATGGCAATAAATAATTTAGAATTTAGAAACATAAGAAAGCAAAAAAAATTATTTAGTAAAAGAGCTTCTCAATCAGTGTATTTTTCCTTCCACTCATTTAATTTCCAGATATGGTTCCCCTCTCCACTTCCTTTCTTCTCTGAAGTGATGAAACTGAGGAGACAAAATATGTTTTCTCGTTTATTTTTCTGGCTGTGTTTTATTTTCAGCTATGTATATCAGTCATGTTGATGCTCCCTCCTTCCCTTCAAACATTGTCTGGGAGATCTGAATGCAGCTGGTTTGTTGGCTGCACTAAGATTACGTTAACTAGGATGGCACTGCCTAGATATAAGACATACGGGTGGCATTCCTAGAAACAGAAATGTGCGGATCGTGGAATGGTGACAAGAACGCAGGAATCTTAACATGTCATTTAATATTTTAGCTACAGCAATTTGCAGTGTCCTGCAGTCGTTTTTGCTGAAAACCAGTGTTTGCTTCCAGTTTTTGGCAAAAATGCCCCACGGTGAACAATGGGTTTGCTTAATGTCTATAGTTTGCTTAATGACCATAGATTCACTTAATGACCATGATGATTTACTTAACAACCACCATAAAAATAGGTCATAAAATCAAGTTGGTCATATGATGATCTACTTTATGACTGTCACAAACCATAAAGGGAGAATCCATTACAGTTATAAGTTGAGGACTACTGGCAGTTATTTTTTAGTCTTTGAAGATTGGCCTTTGGCCAATCACTTGCTTTCAGCCCAAATCAACTATTTCAGCAAACTGATTGGATTCTTTGCATCCTTCTTGCCTCATCATGTATAGATAAGCCTTGCTGTGAGAACTAAATAAGCACACTGCAAAATACATGGACCCTGCAACTAAGTGGAAAGAATGCTAAAGAACAACAACAACATCTGGAATGGAATGGAATGGAATGGAATGGAATGGAATAGAATAGAATAGAATAGAATAGAATAGAATAGAATAGAATAGAATAGAATAGAACTGGAAGGGACCTTGGAGGTCTTCCAGTCCAGCTCTCTGCTTAAGCAGGAGAACCTATATCATCTCAGACAAGTGACTGTCCAGTCTCTTTTTAAAAACTCCAGTGATGGAGCGCCCACGATTTCTGGAGGCAAGTTGTTCCACTGGTTAATTGTCCTCACTGTTAGGAACTTTCTCCTTAATTCCAGGTTGCTTCTCTCTTTAATATACTATGAGCTGTATTTGTCCGAATGCTGCATTTCGGCAGGTGTGGAAGTAGTGGAAAAATGAATAAATACCTCTTAAAAAGACAAAGACATGTCTTGCTGAATTCCTTCTCTTATTTAATGAAAATGAGTGGAAACTATAAAGATGTTGGAATGTCCCTGAAAAATATACGTTTATTTCCTTCCAAAGAAAGAGTCCTGTTTTGGGGACTTTGGTCTGAACCCCTGCAGGCATTCTAATCTATTTTCAGAGATGGTATTCTCAGAGCACTGAGCATTCAGTTCTGGCACTGAATGTGCATACCCAGAGATTTAAGTTAAAGCAGTGCAGGATTGTGGCTCTAAAAAAATCAGCTCATTCATAAACAGTAGAGTTGACTTCAAGTAGAGGGTAACCTTAGCCATCCTATTTCACAGAATGGTTGCACTGATTAAATGATTCTTGGTGAAGTATAGATATTAGAAATGAATAAGAAATGTGGAAAATAAGCAAGATGGCATGTTACTTTCCTTGTAGTGTTTAGATGCAATAGCTTGCTACTATAACAGATAATATGGCTATTCTGTAATAAACATGTACACAGTCAAGTGAGTATCACAATTATTTACCGATATGAGCTAAAGTGCCTGTATTTTTGTTCCCCTTTGTTCATAGCTTCAGTTTCTGAAGTGGAAATTATTCTCTTTCATTCATCAGTAATATTCTCCATCTAATTTGGAGGAAATTATTCTAAAAACATTTTTCATGTGCTTTTAAAATGAAATTCTTCAAGCAGTTCTATTGCTTCTCTTCACAGGTACTTTCTTTCATTTTTCAGCAGGAGACCAGTGCTTTCCAGAATGGGATGGTCTAATCTGCTGGCCCAGGGGGTCAGTAGGAAAAACATTAGCTGTGCCTTGTCCTTCTTATATCTATGATTTTAATCACCAGGGTATGCTCTTCTTCCTTTTGAATCATTGATCTTACGTGATATCAGGGAGAGGAAAAGGTCATCAGACTAATGGAAATGTTAATTCTTTCTTACAGGTATGGCCTTCCGACATTGTAATTCAAATGGAACATGGGCTTATGTGCACAGTTTAAACCGAACATGGTCTAATTATTCTGAGTGCCTCCGTTTCCTGCAAACAGAAACCAGTGTGCGAAAGGTATGGGCTCTTAGTCCAGACAAGGAGAAGAGAATTAAAATGGGCTATTGCAGAAACATCGAGTAACTAAATACCTCTATGACACATGATGCAGTTCATAAATACGGGACAAAAAGAATTCAGCTGATTGTATCTTCTTCTCTTGGTCCCTTGGTCATTTTCTCTTTTGTTACAGAACAGATCTGGCACATGCTGGGAAAAATAAAATAGAAATTGGTTGTCTAATGTACTTTGCCTCAGAAATTTTGCCTTTATGTAGTTCTTTAAAATATAACATCTTATAAATGAATATTGAAATTAGATTCTGATCACTTGGCAATATTAAATCACAATGGGAATCCATGCGTAGAAATTGTGTACTGTTTCCAAGGGATGATTAAGGAAGCACCTTTGCAGTGCTAGCTCGGTGCTCTTTTCCCATGCAAGAAATTAGTAGACTAGCTCTGAACATCACAGTCGTAGCCGTTGAGTGCATTCCAGCTTCAGTTCAGTTCTGCAAGAAATTATTTATTTTTAAGATGAAATAAATTAAAGATAAAGTCACAGCTAACAATTGTGTACCCAAGTAAAACTGATATTTAGAAGTTCTTCTGCTGTTCTTTCTTCAGAGGAAATTCTTTGAACGTCTCTCTGTCATGTACACGGTGGGATATTCCATTTCCTTTTCCTCTCTGGCTGTGGCGGTTTTTATCATTGGCTACTTCAGGTGAGTGATTTCCTAAGGGATTGCAAACTAGCAGCAAGCAGAGCTAGACCAAAATGGAAAGAGCAGAGACATATTTTAATTTTTATTTATAAAAAATTATATTTTTATATTTATTAAAAAATATATAGGAGAGTTTCATCCAGTTCAGAGTACTAAGAGAAGCTAGTGCTAGTTGTACAATTGAGTAGAGCACAAAGAAATATTATGTCTTAATAAAAAGTAGAAATAGTGAGGTGGGCGTCATCTCAAGCTTATAATAGTCTAGACGAGCCCAAAGGGGAGATAGATAAGCAGGGGGAAGGGCCATAAACAGTGGAGATGAGATGACTTGGGTGGGGTGCACAAGGGAGGCTTTCTGAGCTGATTTTGGCTTGTAGGCCACTGATTCATAATCACTGCTTTAAATGAGCCCTAAATCATCCCCCCCCCCATTTATCTGCAATTCATGGTCTTCTGCTGACACTGACAAATGAAACAGGATAATAAAATTGAGCTTCATGGCTTAGAATTAAAATCTGTATCCAACAGAATATCTTTGATGAAAATTCATTTCCCTCTCTCTCTCTCTCTCTCTCTCTCTCTCTCTCTCTCTCTCTCTCTCTCTCTCACACACACACACACACACACACACACACACACACAACACACACAACACACACACACACACGCGCGCACACACACACGGGGTAAGTTATCATTTGGAACAGTAAATAAAAATCAGAAAGAAGAAATGGTACATCAGTGTTTATGAAAATGAAATCCTAGGATTCTGAACAAAAGAAGTCTGAAAAGGATTAAACGTATTCTCAGCTCCTTCCATAGCTAAAATTTCAGCCTCTCAATGCCACTTAGCACCAAACTTTTGCAATTACAAACAGTATGTGGATTCATCCGATACACTAAACTTGTATTTGTTCTCAATGATAAGTTGTTCAATAAACCATGGTAGATGGGATCACATATCATTCTAAACTCCAAACCATTATTTACTAACCTCAAGTGAGCCAAAACAAAATAGGTTGAAACTGGACCATTATGGATTATTCAGCAGATTGTTTTTTTCAGAGACGCTGTGCTGTCTGAAAAGATATAATGACAGAGCTCAAGCTCAGTCCTTCCTCAAATTTACATGTGCAAAGCACATCATTTTACAGCTGAATCATTTTGGAAGCAATGTGAAATATGTAATCCATGGAATAATTCATGGAGAAAATGTTTTTTGTGGTAACAGGTATTTTTGATTGGAAAGTAAAAAAAGATTATTTGTCTCAAATGATCTTGGGCAAAGGTAGTTTCTGCTTTTAAAAGCAGGTTCATTCAACTGTATTATGCACATATCCTTATTAGTTTCCCCTGTTCAACATTGTCATTTTGTCTTTTTTTTTTTTGTTAAGATTAATACAGCCACTTCATACCCACAAGACTTTGTGATGCACATTGATCCGGTTCTTTGTTTTAAAAAAACCCAAATTCAAGAGGAAGACTAAATAATATCTTATAGCTACTTATTAAGATATCAAAATGGAACTACCATGTTCAGAAGTAGTGCACCTTTTAAGCAATAGATGCCAGAGACCAAAAGTAAGGGAGAGTTTTAGCTTCACTGCCTCATTGGAAATACATACTAAACAATATGATCCTTCTACATCCCCTTAAAAAGTTTTTTTTCCCTCCCAACTAGGAGGCTCCACTGCACCCGGACTTGTATACATCTGCATTTGTTTGTCTCTTTCATGCTCAGAGCTACCAGCATTTTTATTAAAGATAAAGTTGTTCGTCCTCATTTTGGAGACAAAGAGTTTGACTCACTACTCACAAGTGATCTACAAAATATTATACAGACTCCAGTCATGGACAGATCTCAGTATGTAAGTATTACTCCCATCTTGTTTTTCAAGTTCCTCACCCCAGAGTTTCCCTAGTCATGAAACTACTAGTTTCAGAGTCAGTTTGATCCATGTTCTGATCCATGAACATTTCAGTCCCAAAACTCATTGCTGGTCCTTTAAGTGAGGCATTTCAGCAGACCCAAAATCAGTACCCATTCATTTCCATCTATCTGCTGAATATTTCTGTGTAGATACATGCCTTTGTTTAAAGCAATTTGAGATCAATAAAATTGGGAATATCTGAGAATATAATTTTCAGATTACTTGCCAATTGAAAATACATGGATGGGAGTATAATTAACCAGGATTGGTGAAAGTAGAAGATAATCTTTTCTTGATTACATATTACATAGATTAGAAATGCCATCTGGCCCGATCTGCTGTACCATTTTTTAAAACTCTGGCTTACATGATGGAGCATCTGGCAGTGTTTCTCAACCTTGACAATTTTAAGGCATGTGGACTTCAACTCCCAGAATTCCACAGCCAGCAATGCTGGCTGTGGAATTCTGGGAGTTGAAGTCCACATGCCTTAAAATTGTCAAGGTTGAGAAACACTGAGAAGGAATGGCAAGAGTCTTGGGCCCACCTTTGATTAGGACAATAGCAGAAATCCTTTCTTCTGCTTGTAGGCTTTTCTGTCCATCTAATACAAAATCTTATTCTGATATTTCTGTTGACAACACTTTTTGGCAAGTATAAAAAGACAAAATTCACAGATCATGAAATGGATATATCCAATACAGCAGTGGTTCTCAACCTTCCTAATGCCGCGACCCTTTAATACAGTTCCTTATGTTGTGGTGACCCCCATCCAGCTGGCCGGGGGGGTATCAAAAACTTGATCCCCCCCCCAAAAAGGAAAAAAAAAATCGGAAAGTATAGGTAGTCCTCGACTTACAACAATTCGCTTAGTGACTGTTTGAAGTTACAACAGCACTGAAAAAGCGAATTATGATCATTTTTCACACTTATGATTGTTGCAACATCCCCAGGGTTATGTGATTTACATTCGGATGCTTGACAACTGATTCATACTTAGGACATTCACAGTGTCCCAGGGTCACATGATCAATCACTCAGGTTGCAGAGTGCCTGTGGGGGGGAATCTGTGGGTCTCTGGGATGAGACTGGGATGGGTGCCTGCCTTCCTTCCCTCCCTTCTCTCCTCTTGTTCCTTCCTTCCTTCTTTTCTTCCTTTCCTTCACCTCCCTCTTAGTCTCTTCCTCCTTCCCTCCCTCTCCCATTGTCCCTTCCTTCCTTCTTTCCTTCCTTTCCTTCACCTCCCTTAGTCTCTTCCGCCTTCCCTCCCTCTTTCTTATTGATCCTTCCTTCCTTCCTTCCTTTCCTTCACCTCCTTCTTAGTTTCTTCCTCCTTCCCTCCCTCTCTCCCATTGTCCCTTTTTTCTTTCCTTCCTTTCCTTCACCTCCTTCTTAGTCTCTTCCACCTTCCCTCCCTCTTTCCCATTGTCCCTTCCTTCCTTCTCTTCACCTCCCATAGTCTCTACCTCCTTCCCTCCCTCTTTCCCATTGTCCCTTCCTTCTTTCCTTCCTTTCCTTCTTAGTCTCTTCCTCCTTCCCTCCCTCTCTCCCATTGTCCCTTCCTTCCTTCTTTTCTTCCTTTCCTTCACCTCCCTCTTAGTCTCTTCCTCCTTCCCTCCCTCTCCCATTGTCCATTCCTTCCTTCTTTCCTTCCTTTCCTTCACCTCCCTTAGTCTCTTCCTCCTTCCCTTCCTCTTTCCATTGTCCCTTCCTTCTTCCTTTCCTTCCCCTCCGTCTTAGTTCCTTCCTTCCTTCCTTCCTTCCTTCCTTCCTTCCTTCCTTCCTTCCTTCCTTCCCTCCCTCCCTCCCTCCCTCCCTCCCTCTTTGTCCCTTCCTTCTTTCCCTCCTTTCCATTGTTCCTTTCTTCCTTCCCTCTCTCATTGTCCCTTATTTCCCTCCCTCTTTGTCCCTTCCTTCCTCCCCCCCTCCGTGCCCAGGAAGGGACAAGGGGAGGGGGACAGGCTGCCAGAGGCAGAAGAGAGCTCTGCCCAGCTCACTTGCTCAGCTTCGCCAGAAAACAAGCTGCTTACTAAGTTAGTAGAAGCTCCAGGATCAGCACCAGGCTACATCTGATTCGCGCTTCTGCTAAATTAGCAAGCGACATGTTTTCTAGCAAAGCTCGAGCAAGTTTGCTGGGCAAGAGCTAAGGAGAGCTGCTACAGCTGACCTACTTGTTGGCTGCTCTGCAAAAGCGCGGATCAGCTGTAGAGGTTCGCCCCGATCCTGGACAGAAAGGAAGGAAGGAAGGAAGGAAGGAAGGAAGGAAGGAAGGAAGGAAGGAAGGAAGGAAGGAAGGGACAAGGGGAAAGAGGGAGGGAAGGAGGGACAAAGAGGGAGGCGAAGGAAAGGAAGGAGGAAGGAAGGAAGGAAGGAAGAAGGGGAGGAAGGGAAGGAGGGAGAAAGAGGGAGGCGAAGGGAAGGAAAGGAAGGAAGGAAGGAAGGAAGGGACAATGAGACAGGGAAAGAAGGAGGAAGAGACCAAGACGAAAGGAAGGAAAGGAAGTTCCAGCCAGCAGAGGTTTGGCAGCCCGGCTGCCGAGAAACAGAAGAGCGCAAAGCCAAGGAGAAGTGGCGGTTTCCTCCCAAAGGGGGCTCCTTTTCTCCACCCCTTCCCTGGGTTTGTGGGGAATTTCTCATCACCAACGCTGACAGGTGCTCCTTTGAGCCCGCCATGAGCTTTCTCGCCCCCTTTGCTTCCCCCCCCGCTTTTGTGAGGATTGTGGCGCCGTTGGGAAGCCGATCATGCTTTGAAGCTATGAGAGGAGGAGTCGTCCCTTCTTCCCTCCCTCTCTCCCTGTCAAGCCCCGGCGGGCTCGACATGAACGGGTGGAGGAGTCGAGGACGGGCGGGGTGGCAAAGGAGACCGGCGGCCGTTGCCAGACCTCCCGGCTGACAAGCGCAAGTTCAGGGGTTGCCAGCTGATGGGCGCAGGAATTGGGTGCTGCAGCGGTCTCCCCTTCGCTGACCTGCATGCACGAGAAGAAGTCAATCTGGTTGCTGCACAATGAGTCTCTGGGGAGGGCGGGGCCTTGCTCTGCGCCTGTGCTCTTCATGCGCCCCCTGCAAGGTACATTTGGTAGAGTTCATGCAGACTGCCGCCAAGCAGCATATTTTCCACAAACAAGTGAGGTGGAGCAGAGGAGGGGAGGGAGAGAAGGCGATTGACAAGCCCTGCCTCCGATGATCTTAGGCGACCCATGTGAAAGGCTCGTGCAACCCCCAAAAGGGTCGCAACCCACAGATTGAGAACCGCTGCAGTACATGGTGCTTGTCTGAATTTACACTGTTCAAAAGCCAGACTATGGGGTCAGCTTTGCTTCATTGAGCTATCACGCTATAAAACATTAAGGAATGCAGTGCTTGTGTTGGGCTATATAGAAAGCCACTTCATGTTGGCCACATTTTTTCCAAGATGAATTAGCTTTGTCTGCTTATGTGTACATTTGTGAACTTCAACTTTTTAGTGAATATTTGTTCTTTTAGGAAGCTAGTCTCAGAATCTCTCTCTCTCACACACACACATACAATATTTATCTTCCAAATATTTTGGACTATATCTCTAACTTTTTTTAGCTATTTGAGGTTAATGGAAGTTGGTACAACAGAACTTAATTCCTCATTATTGCCGCAATGTACCAAGCTGAGCTATCTCAGCATTGGCACCAAAACAAATTTTAATCTCAGACAGGCAGCATTCAAACACTTGGCAGTAACTGCATGTGGATGTTTTTCCTATTGATTTCTGTTACTGTCACAAATTTTAAGTATTTCTCAGAAAAGAAAAAAAAATTTGAAAAATATGGTAAGCAACTATTCTTAGTTTTAATGCCTTATATCAATGATGGCAAACCTTTTAGAGACCGAGTGCCCAAACTGCAACCCAAAACCCACTTATGCATCGTCGGGTGCCGGGTGGGTGTGGCCTATTGGTTGGGTGTGGCCAATTGGGGGATGGCCCATTGGGTGGGCGTGGCTGCAGTGGTAACGGCAGACTGGGTGGGACTAAAAAGTTCAATCAATCAATTCCAACTTTGCAAGATCTTTTCCTGCGAGAAGTTGAAATTGACTGATTGATTGAACCTTTTTTTTTTTTTGCACATGGTAGTGGAGGCCTAAAGCGAAAAGGTTTTATAAAACCCAGCTGAAGGCCTAGGACTGGGGCGACAGTGCGTGTAACCAAAGAGAGGGCTCTGAGTGCCGCCTCTAGCACCCGTGCCATAGGTTCGCCACCACTGCCTTATATCTATTTAATTTTTTTTACAAGAAGTTAGTATAGTTAGATTTAATTATTTCATATTATTTAATACTACTGTTGGGTTTTTTTGTTTTTGATTAATAGGTGTGGTGCAAAATTACTGTGGTGATGTTTATTTACTTCTTGGCAACAAACTACTATTGGATCTTGGTTGAAGGTCTCTATCTACACAGCTTAATATTTGTGGCTTTCTTTTCGGATACCAAGTACCTATGGGGTTTTATCTTAATAGGCTGGGGTAAGATACATTGTTTTTCATTCAAGAATTGGATTTCTTTAAAATTGAGACAATATTATATCTACTCTAAGTAGACCTGTTAAGTGTTATACCACTTTAAATGTTTGTATAACCTAGAAAGCTCTTTGATTCAGGAAAAGTCCAATTTCATTAACTGGATACAGCTCTGAATTTGTATGTCATTATTTCAGTTGATTTTCATTTTGTCTGTTACATGCCATATTTCTTTGATGTGTTTATGTTTTCTCTGGTATAATTTGATTTTAGCACTTTATATGGATTATTCTTGAATTATTATTTTTTCTATTCTGTAAATAAAATGCACATTTTAGTTACTTAAAGATTTATATATAAATTAATTTGCTACCATACATGAATTCTTATTTCCAGCAAAAGCAGTATATTCAAAATTGTCCATCAAACTCTTTGGATCAGATCACTCATGTCATAAGGTTGAGACAGGAGCTAAAACTTCCCAAATCAGAGAATAGTTGAAACGTAAACATATAACAACTGCTTGGGTTCAAGGCATGATAAATTTCTGAGAATATAAAGTTCATCTGGATAATTGGAGGATGGATTTTATTCAGTTTAATTTGTATAGTATAAATTATTGTGCTATAATCCATTGCTCACTAAATCAGACCCAATCAGTATTGCAAAATGTACGCATTTTTCTTAACAAAGTGTGGCTTGGTGTATCGGTCCCAGACACATCCAAAAATAGTTATTAAACTATATGACAAGCATTAAGTTCAAACTGGAAGATAATTGTATTAAATCTATTCATGTTAATTCAATTTCAATATAAATGAAATCAAATTTGGTTTTGTCTTGGTCCTACCAGCTGCTTGCTGTACCATACTCTGAAAGGCAGATGGAACCCCCATGCCAGAAAAAGTTATGAACATCTGACCTAGAGCTGTTTCCTCTGAAGGGGGAGTTGATCTGGAGTGCATTTATTATTTTAAGGCTACTGTTGCAGGTGCCACTTCTTACAAAAGGGTGTGTTGCAGTTCTCTCTCCACTGAGTCACAGTTGGCCTTTTTCCCTAGGCAGATTTCATTGGAAGTGATTAACATTGCAACCGATCACTCTCCTCCTCTTCTTCCTGTCCTCTGTACCTTGTGGATAATAAATATCTGTGCTCGGAATGCCAACCTCTTGCAAATGCTGAGTGTCAGAAGCACGCAGGACTATGCAACTTCGCTGAACAGTGACTTCTTGGAAGTTCTACTCCATTGAGCAGAAGGCACTTTGTTCCCTATGGGGCCTGCTCTATGCAAATTCTTCTGTTCCTTTCCTTTGCCTGTGAAAGGGGGATATTCTATTTTTATTTCATTTCTCAAGAGAAATCTAACAGCAAGCAATCCATTTTTCATATTTATAGGTTTCCCAGCTGTCTTTGTAGCGGCCTGGGCAGCAGTCAGAGCAGCAATGGCAGATGCAAGGTAAATGGACATAAAGCAGAGGTTTCCTTAAATCTTTTTTTTCCCAGTGGAAGGACAATAGCTATGTTATTGGTCCTTTCCAGGACGCTGTGTGGGGAGAAGGGGAGAGAGACAATTGTTGTGAGGGTGAATGTACACAAAAATAAAGGGCTATTGGGAGAAAAATTGCAATGCATATTTCTGGAGAAAATTGATATATTGCAAGCTGAGAAAGGTGCTTTTCTAGTCTTTCTTCTTTTTACCATGAGTCTTCATCAGAGTCACTGTTTACTGGAAGCTGTACATTAAATGCCCTGCCAGAGTAAGAAATTGTGATCCCTGCTATGCAGGCTTGCACATGCAAGTAGATTTTTCACAGCAACCAATTAATATATTTGCAACTTTCCTGTTGCAAAGTGCATTTGATTTTACTAAAGACTCCTTCAGTCTTTGTGCTCTCTGGGTCAGACTTTATGTATCCTCTCTGATTTTCAAAGTCATCACATTAGAAGAGGGTGCCAGCAATGGGGTGGGCACAGTTCTGACATGATGCATCTGGCCCGCGGGCCGGCAGTTTGACACCCCTGCATTAGAATATCAGAATTAGATGATGCTCTCAGTGAGGGTAATAGTTGTCAGGAAACATCTTTTTTAACAATCCAAGACAAATGATTCCAGGCAGTCTAGAGAGTAAATTGGAACAACAATGACTGCACAGTCATTGTAGAGATTGCAACATTTTGCCACCTACAGTCTCTTAGATAACATTCAATGAATGTGTGAATCACAATCATGAATTTAAAAAAAGATAAATATATAAGATACTATAGGTCCTGAATAGAGGTACTTAGGTCTGGCACTCTGGAATGTCTTAAGAAAAAAAAACATGCTTTCTATATACACACACATATACTGATTCATGCAGTATATTACTTCATTTTGAATCCCAAAGGTGCTTTTTCTTCAGCTCTGAAGAAGCTTCTTAGATGAGAAGTGAAACGCCTTCAAAGAAAAACAAGAAAGTCCAGTTGCCTCTTGAAAAAGCACCTTTAGGACAACCACGACCTGGAGAGTCTCCATAGACATTCATTTTGAATCATTTTCTAGTTGATCATTTGGCATATTCTAATCACTGTATGGTATTGGTGGCCTGCTTAAGGAAGGACTACATTCATATTTATCCTTATCTAGGTCATCTTCTCATTGTTCTTCACCAGGACCAAAACCTCTGGACTGATTTAGCTTTCTGGTAAATTTGCAGAGCAGTACAATAGGAGACCAATCTTACAGAGCTTGTTAGGTATATTTAGGGTGCTAAACAACTACTATTACCAAACTTTATAGTCTGCAGACATTTTACAACAAGAATGGGTTCCCTCCTTCTTTATAATTGATTCAGGTATATTTTTAGGCAGGCATTGTTCAGGGGATTCACATGACAGTCCTCATTTTGATTGTAGTGCAATGATTTTCTATCTCTAGTCATCCACAAAAAATAATAGGTGTGGAGCCAACCCCATGAGTGAGTCAACATGGCTGCTAACTTCTGAATCTGGGATACTCACTGAATGGTCAAGATGGCACAGGGGGTCTGTTATGCCATGGAAGCCAAGCACAATATACATTTTCTAGAACTACAAGCATCCAGTTAACACTGGCTGATTTCTAATTCTTCCACTTAGATCAACAATTTTTGGTTCTTGTGGACAATAAGACTATATAGATGAATAAGTTGGGGAGGCATGAAAGTGCACACTGTCATGATAGATGCTATCAGACTACAAGTATGAGTTGGGATTCATTTTTCTCTCTCTCTCCAGAACATACTGTATTCCAAACCTTCCACAATATGACAGATTGATTCATTCAGATAGATTTGGATCTAGAGGAAATTAATACCCCAAAATGTATAATTTATAATGAAGCATTTTGAAACCTCAGTGGCAGATCTCTTGGCTTCCCAATCAATTGCAAGATTGAGAAATTTGGCAGAAGAGACAGAGCTTTTAACATGCCCTAGTAATTGAATGAAAGGAAGAGGACATGGATGGAAATAACCTTAAGAACTGTTGCCGAGGCAAAAGGGGCTGAAACAATGGGATAACATTTGAATTAGCTCAGGGAGACACTTCCCAAATTCAGTGAATATAAGGAAGTGGAGGTATAGCACAACAGACATCGCAAGATTGATGTCAGCCCCACTATGTAAGACCACACCAGGAAATGAACTCCACATGATGTCTCAAACTATTTTTTTTATTAAGATGTACCTACATCAACAAAATCTCAAAAATAAGGAGCCTCATATTTGAACTACATATTCACTCACAAGTTTCTTCCTTGAGATCTAGGCCAAAGCTGCTTTCATGAAAGGTTGCTTTCTTTATACAGTCATTATAGCCAGAAGAATGTTAGAAAACTTGGAACTCTTTTTTTGAAAAAGTTTGTTTCATTTCCTCCTAGTTCTGTTTTTCTTTTCTTAACACTGAAATTTTAACTGAAATAAAGAAGTTTTCCCCTTATTTTGCCCTAAATCCAGATTGGAGAAAGAATTGTGCAAATGAGACAATTGGACTGGCTATGAAGGTTTATTTATCTTGGGAGTTTCATAATTTATTTATTTCTTGAAGTCCATACTTGGTTGAAAATTATACATAGCAATGATCTTCAGATATAGGAGGACTTGCATTTCTTGTTCTTATGGGTTTCAGCTGGTTGATGTTTTGGAAGGAGTCACACCTCAGTTTTCTAAGACTGTTGTAACTTCAGCTTTTTCTACTTTCTTGGCCAAAACAGTCTTGAGTGTGTTTTAGTAAAAGCTTTTTCCTCTACTATAGGAAACTGTGTGTGAAAGTGCTGTAGTTTCTCTGCTATAAATCCTGAGAGTGGTGATCCCCTGGGTGTTATTTTATGTATTGGTATGTTTGTCCATTGAACTGAAAATAGGTAGTGAAGCAAAGGTTGATGAGTTTCATGAGTTTGGGCATTTAAATCTTAATCTATTCGGTTAGGTTGCTGCAATAAATTCTTTCTTCCCCCTCTATGAGATGTTGAGCTTTTTAATGAGTTCTTTAACTATATTATAAGTTGGGGTCCTGGTAATGATAAAATTGGACAAAGTAATATGTTGGGCATCTGTATTTTGGAGCATCCACAGAAGTATGGAAGGACCACTGCTTTTCATCCACCACTGTTCTTTTGTGATTTGATCTTTCTTGGTGAGGTTGTTGAGAGTTTTTTTTTTTTTTAAATTGAGTTGCCCAGTTTCTGTATTGAGTTGGTATTTACTAGGATGTAAGTTTCTTTGCCCCTCACTAGTTCTTTGGCTTGCTGTATGCATTGCACTTTGTCCATGATAACAATGGTTTAGCCTTTGTCTGTTAAAAGGGTGGTGATGGTTTGGTCCTTCTTTGAAGTTTTGAGGGAAGTTCTGTGTTTTGTTTTGAAGTGGCTCTTTTTCTATATTCTTTTGAGTTGCAACATAATTGTCCACCTTATGTTTTTATGGGTCTCCACGGTAAGTCCTGTAGTTTTGAATGCTGCTTCCAAGGCTGCCGAATATTGTCTGACATCCTCTGTTTTGTAGACAAAACCTTTCTGGAAGATATTATGTTTTGTGGTGGATAATGGGCTGCTAGTATTTATTTAGTCTAAGATGAGCATCCATTATCATTAGTGGTACCTTTCTTCAGCTGCTTTGCTGAGCTATTTTCCACACAGCTGCAGAGTTGTAACTGACATTGGTGTGCAAACGTAATAACAGTAATTACTATGAATGTAAACAATTTAATTTAGAGATATGCACAAATAATGTGCACATACACTGTATGCAATCACATCGCACTCATTTGAAGCCATCCAGTGTGGAGCTTCCCGGATTGGTCATGTTCAGCAAGCATGTAAGGGATAATTTTGATAAAGCAAAGATTACATCTTCTGTAAAACTAAAAAAAAATGCCTGGATAATTAATGAACAGCATAGACACAAAGCTGCAGTGAAGTTGGATTCCTCTTACATTAATAAATTAATAAAGAGGTTAGATGCCATCTTGTAAACCATGTTTGGGTATGAGCTGATTTGCCTTCTCAGGAGAGAGAGGCTTCCTCTCACATAAAAACATGCTTTGATTCATCCTATACATACTAATTGGTGTTCTTGTGCTTTCCCTTTAAACCAGCGGTTCTCAACCGATGGGTCGCGACCCCATTTGGGGTTGATCGACCATTTTTGGGGGGTCACCAAAGAAGGCGATCCACCATTTTCTCCCCTCAGGGGGCGCCGCCGCGCATGCGCGCCGTGCATGCACAGCCCCGCCCCCATGCGCACGACACTGCGCATGCGCAGAACGTTTGTGTGACGGGGGTCGCCGTCACACAAACGTTGAGAACCACTGCTTTAAACCTCTTCTTATTAAATCTACTACTCAGATCTCAGTGGCTTGTTGCTTGTTTAAGTCCCAATTGCTATTAACTTGTAAGGGCTTCTGATAGCAGCAGACTTTAAATATGTTGGGGTGATTCTTCACCAACTGGCAGGTATAAAACATCTGTGGCTTATGTAAAACACTGTGGTCACTTGACATTTCTTTTTCATCCCATCTGTAAGTCAGCTTCTTGTGGCTAAACCCCTGGCTCATATTTTAATGATATCATGCAATTCAAAAACTTGATGAGCTGTGCTAGGATTTATCTGTCATAAATAGTTTATCTTGACAATCTGATGTCAATTCTTGAAATATTGGTCTGCTGAACTTTATAATCTCAATCTAGATCTTGGGATCTAGGTTCACCAATAGGCTTGGGCTCCTCTTTTCTTCTTTATTTCATGTAATTTGGGGAAGTCTCTACATGTGGAGTTCAGCCTTGAATAGGATATTGAAAGGAGAGCATTTCAGAGTCAAGTACCACTGCAAAAAAAGCTTCATTTCTTCTTTGTAATATATCACTGTTAAAAAGAAAGAAAATTGTTCAAGAAATAAATTTACTGTTAATAGCTTTAGCCGAATTAGTCAGGATTCTAG